TAAATGAATAATTTTAAAATAATAATCAGCAACGGCAGAAAGAGCTGAAAATTGCAAATATGTGACTGTAAACTTGAGTGAAATTAAAATAAAATGAATGACACAACAGTTAAAACTTACATTTTCTGTGTCATCATTTTCAGATGATATTCCATCATCACCTGTGCTACAACTAGCACTTCGATGGTTCTGGAGAATTAATAAAATGTAATTCACTCAGATTTTCATTAATGGAAATGCATCAATGTCAAGATATAAATTAATAAAGTATTGTGTGTGCATAAGTATGTCAGCTGTGGATAGTAATCTTGCAAGTTTATTTCCAGACAACAGGTACACTTTGTGAATTTCAATATTTTTCAACATGGAATCTACCCCTAGACACTATGACCATCCTAATGTCATGTGACCATGTCGAATGAACTCAAGTTATCTGTGATTAAAAGCTATACAAGGGTTAAATATCAGAGGAAAATTAATTGAAAATTTCAAATACAGTAAATGTTTGTTGATTTTGTTGTCTTGAGTTCAGCTCCTCCACAAGGATGCTTTCATGATCATGTGGCTTCTTGCACAGTCCAGTTTCTTAAAAAAGAGAATATTTTGTGTGTGTGAGGAAAAGTGACTGACAATAAAAACATCCCTATGGTTTCGAAAATATACACAGCCTCATATCTCCAATTTGTAATAAAAACAGGCCCTTTCTGCTTGCGCCTTTCATCCCTCAATGGTGGTCTTTCATCCCTCAATGGTGGTCTTTCATCCCTCAATGGTGGTCTTTCATCCCTCAATGGTGGTCTTTCATCCCTCAATGGTGGTCTTTCATCCCTCAATGGTGAAGTGTGGGGGCACAACAAGATCATGACATTCTGGAGAGAATGTTACAGCGGGGAGTGACAAGGGAACTGAGACTCTGGGAATCTGGTCGAGACTCTGGGAATCTGGTCGAGACTCTGGGAATCTGGCCGAGACTCTGGGAATCTGGTCGAGACTCTGAAAATCTGGCAGAGACTCTGGGAATCTGGCTGAGGCCCTGTGAATCTGGTTAAGACTCTGGGAAACTGATCAAGACCCTGGGAAACTGGTCAAGACTCTGGAAATCTGGTCGAGACTTTGGTTGAGACCCTGAGAATCTGGTGGAGAGTCTAGGAATCTGGTCGAGACTCTGGGAAACTGGTCAAGACCCTGGGAAACTGGTCCATAGTCTGGGAAACTGGTCGAGACTCTGGGAATTTGGTGAGACCCTAAGAATCTGGTGAGACCCTGGGAATCTGGTCAAGACTCTGGGAAACTGGTCGAGAGTCTAGGAATCTGTCCAAGACTCTGAGCATCTAGTCAAGACTCAATGCTCAGGGGAAAGGAAAGATGAATGTTATAATCAGATTAGTACTGATACCAATGGAACTGGAACTCTGCTCTGGCTGTTGAAGATGGGGACGGAGGACTTATGAGAATGTTCCAAGTGCTGTGATGTCAGTTTTAAACTGAGAATAGAATGGACAAATAAACTGTGAGCCCTATGTGACATATAATGGGACTAAAAGGACAATGAATGAATCAAAAGTCACAAGAGCATACCTTCAGCCTAGGGTCTGGCATACCAAGACTTTTCTTTCTTCCAACTGCGGGTGAGTTGGTGTCACTGTTCATAGACACGGTTGAGTTGCTGTTATAGGCGGCGCAATCACCAACCTGCTGTGACATTGGGTCTTCCCGAAGCTGGGTGTGTGACCCATACTCCATTGATTGATCTGATCCAGATGATAACAGGGAGGTTCTGTTTACAGAAAAATAAAAGCATTACTATAACATTTTTAGCTTTGCCTGTATTCATACACTATGTACAAAGATTTTTGCTTGTGTAGTCTAAAAATCTTCTTCTGCGTTCATCCAAAGATGTAACTGTGTTGTGCCCGTTTACAGCATGGCTGTGATATTTGCACCTTTTGGCTGATATCCTTCTGCAGGTATTTGTTAACTGAGTAAGCCTTTGCAGTCTTCTTCTTCATTCACCGGTTGTAAATTCTGGTGGAAGGTCCTGGTTGATCGTCCACTTGGACTTTTAGCTTTTATCTGGACCTGAGTTTTGCATGTACAACTGTTTTACTGGCTTTTGCCTTTCCCTGCCTCATGAGCAGATGTACTCCTACTTCGAGGGAAGACGTCAGGCCTATTTCTAGGATGACTGACCATTGTTTAGCCTTTGCAGTAATAATAATCATATCTTTTAGTATATAACAACTAAGGAAAAAATACCTCAAACTTTACATTACAGAACATACACAGCTAGTAAACCAAATTGTATGACTGATTTCTTGTCATGTGAAATACAATCAGATGGTTACTGGTACCATTGGAATTGTAACTCTTTGCTTGTTGCTGAAGATGGGGACTGAGCACATATCGGAGTGTCCTGAGTGCTGTGATGTCGATTCTTAATTCAATAATCAACGTTACTGTAATAGGTACTGTGTTTTTATTGTTACAGAGGATAAATTTTTCGGCAAGTACAATTCTGCAGAAAAAAAAATGCATATGATATGACAGGTTTTCTCCTCTTATGACAATATGACAGGTTTTCTCCTCTTATGACAATATGACAGGTTTTCTCCTCTTATGACAATATGACAGGTTTTCTCCTCTTATGACAATATGACAGGTTTTCTCCTCTTATGACAATATGACAGGTTTTCTCCTCTTATGACAATATGACAGGTTTTCTCCTCTTATGACAAATACAACCCAGGTGTGAATGGCTTCTGAAAGTGAACCTGTGTCCACGTCAGTCGCTTTCAGTTGGTCTTACTGTATGGACATGTTGTTTCAGTCCAGTATTTGAATAGACTGCTTTAAGAATGTGTTCTTGTCTTGTCTTGTCCACAATTGCCTCACAGCGTAGTGGGGAGTCGCACTTTGATGGACTTTTTCATACTCCTGATCGTATCTGCGGTACTTAATAGCATGTTTATATGAGCTTTCACTACCCTACCGGTTTGCTGGACCTGTCATAGTATCATTGTAGATAAGAATGTGTTATTCTGTTGAATTCCAGTCAAGCGTCTGGGATGATTGTGGTGTATCAAGAATTGGACTTTGGGAATTCTGTCAGTAATGTCTAGAATGGACTAGTGTCAGCCAGGTGTTGAGAGGGTCTACAGTGTTGTTTCTATGGGACACATGGCTGGCAGGGTATCTGTAAGGGCCCAGAAGGTGCCAGAGACCTTGTGTGTTAGCCATCGGGTAGTTGTGATGGTGGGAAGTATCGGAGGCTAACTGACCGGATGTTAGTCAGTGATGCTTTAATGAGTGTCTGGGATAGCAGGTGAAAGGCCTGGTGTTTTCACCAAGAGTTGCATCTATCTTGAGTCCCAAAGGTAGCGGGGTCATTTACAGAATCAACCTTCAGGGGATTATCATTACACATCACATAGGTGTATCTGCGTGGTCGGGTGTGAGCTGTCTGTAGCAGGCACCTGGAACATATTTATCTGAGGTGTTTCGTCCCTCTCTGGAAAGATGTTTATTGGGAAGGCAGTAGGAGAACTGACAGTAAGTCATTTATCACCCTTTCATCCTCGTCATAATGTTTTGTCCACAATAAGGAGACTGATCACACTTCAAAATCATACTTGGCGTGGTGTATTATATTTTAGTACTTGTAGACAGTGTTAACAGTTACTTAAAGACATGTTGGCTTGTTGTGTGTGCCTTGGCGTATATAGTGGTGCTCTTGCTTGGCTTGGCCCTCCATTACACCAGTTATAATCACTATCAGCATGAGCCGAGCCAAGGAGAGTGGGCGGCATGATTGGTGGATAGAGGGAATCCAGTGTGTAGGTGAGAGGACAGACATTTATCGACAGACATTAAAGTAAAACCCCTAGACCACTTGGCCCGCCTGTGATGCTTTATCCTGATCTCACACATCAGACAACATGACAGGTTTTCACCTCTTATGACAATATGATAGGTTTCAGTGTTAATATCCTCTGCTTTCATTACTGGTCCTGGCATTAAAGGGGTGAGATCATGCTAATAATTCCATGACTCAATCAGGTAACTGCAGTGAGAATTTCATAGCAAACAGGTCTTCCCATAGTTGCTCCATTCATGAGCTAACAAAAATCACACAGAATGTCCCTCATTGTCCTGGTGAAAAAAACCCTGACACAGACTGTAGCAAATCCAACTACATATACATGCACTAAATACATAAGACAGCAGTCAGTGGTGCCAACACAAACAGTCCAAAACTAGAAATGCAGTTTATCGACAATGGAAGTTGCAGTTTCAACGGATCAGCAGTTGCACATGCAATTAATCACATAAGGCACCATAAGTGATCTGGCCACAGCCCACTTGCCACTCTCCAAATATGGAGTTCACAACACAAGCCACATTGGGCATAGTCAAAATGCATTCTAAATGAAATCCACAGCACACAGTGTCACACCATATACTCAACTAAGTAGCTGGGTGATGGAATTATATCCTTTTAGTCTAAACATGAGGAAAATGCAACAGCTAGCTTATGTCAGAAGCAACAAAAACAACAACAAAACTCACCATGACTGGGTGGAAAAAAATACCAGTATACCCTACCTATCCACCATACTGACCAGTATGACAGTGAGGGGAATCCCATGAAATGCCAACTATTTACTACATTCTCATAACTTAAAACAGCAAAGAAATATGTTTACCTTGCGAGTAGGAGTACCAGCAAGAGATGATGACAAGACTTGTGTTCCATACATTCTATCAGGATGACGGCCATGCAGATGTTCAAGATGGGATCGGAACTGAGAAACATCCAACTGACCCAGGCTGTGGACTCGCTTCTGGCGACACATCTGATTATCACAGCACTGGCTTGGTTCCATAGAAAGACTCCCTTGAGATCCTGGTTGACATCTCTGAGGGTCATCTAGCATGGACAAATATTCATGCTGAATTAATTATTTTAAGAACAATTTTTTTCTGCTAGGATTACATATCTGAAGGATTAACACCAAGTGACCACTATTCAGATGAGACTTAACCAGAAGTGAATCTCAGAAATTCAATTTAGCTGTATATTAGGGAACCTAACAGTTACCAACTAGCCTTTAGTTCAATATGGGTGGGTTCTGTGCAACTATCAGATCTTCAAATAATGGATTCAGTATTTGCATCCCCCTTCTAGTGTCTAGAGAACCCTGTGTAACAATAAACAACACAATAGGATAAAGATGATGATCATCATAAAAATGTGCTGTGTCTCCACTTGGTGTTAGAAAGATGTGTGCGTTAAAATGATTTCAAGAGCTATGCCTATGGAAGCTTAGCTACTGATAGTTTTTTTTTAATGAGTTGATCAAAGGACAGCAGTCAGAGAAAGACAGATACAAACCAGCTTTCCTGTAGATAGACTGGAGACAGTCAAAGGTAATGGAAAACCATCCCCCCCCCCCAAAAATGCTCAACAAAATCTTATGCGCTGAGAAACAGGCTTCAAGAAATAATGTAACATTACTGCTGTCTAAAGTAATGAAGAATATGACTATACATGCTGTTATGGTTTAAGCTCTATGAAGGGAAACTTCCACCGCACTATCCAGTGGTAAAGGAAGGGCAAAACAAACACACACACACACACACAAAAACCTACCAAGAGTGACCAAGAGGAAGGACAAAACACACACACACACACACACATGCGCTCGCGTGTGACCAAGACAGCTCAAGGGAGGGAAGTGATTTCTTGCAAAAATAAGTGGACATGTTTTGCACCAGAGCAGAGCAGGGAACTCATCCGTCTTGAAAGCAGAGATGGCCATCAAAGATGGAGGTCACAATG